CAGTTCCTGCAAAGCCGGGTAAGAAACCCTAAGCGCAAGCACTTGTCAAGGGAGTAAACGTAATCAGCACAACCACCACCAGCGCTGTCCACATTACCACCAGCGCCGTCAGCATTGTCATCTATTTTGCACACCCTGGGCCACTTGATTGACGGGCGGTCAACCATTGCTGCAGTGACTGTCTTACCTGCCTGCTCCGACTCTTCCAAGGCAGTACTCTCGGAAGTAAAGGAAGAAAGATGGCCCCTGAGAGAAGAGCCAGCGAAAATGATTGAGAGTGTGAGGACATGAAGCCCCTTTCGAACGACGGCCTCGATGCACCAGGTTGCGGCCGAGCCCCCAACCATCCACCTTCCTCCTCCTCCATTCCCTTACCATTAACTCCTCCCTGTCGCACCCCGAGGCCGGTCGAAAGGGTGGGCCGGGCGTTTCGCCTGAGAGTTCCTCACCACTTATGATCCTGAGGCTTGAAATTTGCAAGGGCTTCACGAATGGAGGGCGGCTCGCTTTCAAAAGGCGGTTCTCGCCTTAGCGCCGCGCACATTCATTTTGAATATTTGGAAGAGTTTCACGAATAGAGTTTCACGAATAGAGTTTCAGCAAGGCGGTTCATTTTCAATATGTTGCTCTCGCCCCAGCACGACGCACATTCGATTTAAAAGTTCGCAAGAGTTTCACGGATGGAGGGTGGCTCCATTGCAAAATGTGGCTCTCGTCTTAGCACCGCGCGCATTCGTCTTAAGAGTTTGAAACAGGTTCAAGGATTCTAATGGCTAACGTCCCAAAGATGGAGTTTCGACACGATGTCGGGACGTCAGGGCGCAACAGTCACTTTGATTTACGGATTCGGATGGAAGGCGGGACGTTTTCAAAATCTGGCTCTCGCCTTCGCGCCGCGCACATTCGTCTTAAATTCTAGAAGAGCTTCACGGATGGTGGGCAGTTCCTATTCGAACTGTGGCTCTCGCCCCAGCGCCGCGCGCATTCGACTTAAGAGTTCGCAGCATGTTCCAGGATGCGTATGGTTGACGTCCCAGAAATGATGTTTTGGCAAGATGTGCGACGGTCAGGGCGCAACAGTCATGTTGATTTGCGGTGTTGGAATCCCAGGAATGGTGTTCTGGCAGGCTTCGGGATCGTCGAGACGCAACAGTGACGGTGATTCGCGGCGTTGAAGTCCCAGGAATGGCGGTCTCGCACAATTCCGGACTTTCAACGATTCCAACGAGGCACTTCCCTCCGTGAAAATGAATCCGAGTAGGAGCCTATGAAGAGGGAACTTGGAGGGAGGGTTTATCATGAGTCTTGGGTGTAAGCTGGTCCTGGTCCTCCTCCTCATCCTGCTCCTCCTCCTCCTCCTCCTCATCCTCCTCCTTCTTCCGAAAAGGAAGGGTTCAAGGCCGACCCAGCCACAATCAGTCCTGTTGAAATTGGTTGTCCCCTGGGTGGGGTGGCTCGCCCACCCTCCAAGGTGAACGTGGATAGCCTTGCTTGCCGTTGATGGTAAAATCCTCCTCCTCCTCCCCCTCCTCATTCCTCCTCCTGCTCCTCCTCCTCCTCCTCCTCCTCCTGCTCCTCCTCCTCCTCATCCTGCTCCTCCTTCTCCTCCTCCTCCTCCTCCTCCTCCTCCTCCTCCTCCGCCTTCTCTTCATCCGTCTCTTCCTCCTGCTCGCTGCGTGCCTACAGGGGCGCCAGTGTCGGCCAGTGCAGTGCTTGCTCTGAGCATTACGTAGAAGGGCGCGCGTTGAAAGTCGTGCCATTTCGGATGACCCTTCTCTAGATCTTTGGAAGTCTGTTACCAGCCTAGACAGGGACTCCATGAGGATCTGGTCTGGTCTGCTCTGCTCTGCTCTGCTCTGCTCTGCTCCTCCTCCTCCTCCTCCTCCCTTCTCCTCCTCCTCCTCCTCCTCCTCCTCCTCCTCCTCCTCCTCCTCCTCCTCCTCTCCTCGTGCTGCTCATCCTCCTCCGCCTCCTCCTCCTCTTCCTCCTCATCATTGTCCTCCTCCTCCATCCACCATTTTTTGGAGGAGGGAGGAAAAGGACGAGAGAGGAGGAGCAGGGGGGAAAGAGTAGGAGGAGGAGGCTCGGTCTGGTCGCCCTGGAAGGCACGAATCAAGCTCACAATTGCCAGGCAGGTGCCGCTCGAATGGGAAGCGACAGCCGAGAGAGGAGAAGGATGAGGAGCAGGAGGAGGAGGGAGGAGGAAAAGGAGGAGGAGGAGAAGAGGAGGAGGAGGAAGGAAAAGAGGAAGTGGAGGAGGAGGAGGAACACCCCCGGAAGTGAAGGAAGAGACGTGGCATCTGAGAGAAGTGTTAACTTCATGTGATTGGGGCCGTCATGGCACAAGGCCCCTTTGGGCCGACGGGATCGAGCGGCCGAGCCCCCCATCATCCTCGTTCCTCGTCCTTGCCATAGTCCTCCTGCGGTCCCAACGGTTCGTGCTTCGCCCCCACCTCCTCTGCACTTCGCTGGCAGCGCGACAACCCCCTCCCTCCTCCGTGATTCCCCATTCACCACCACCACCCCTTGGGGAGGAGGGAGGGAGAGGAGGGAAGAGGAGGAGAGTGAAGAGGAGGGAGAGGAGGGAGAGGAGGGAGAAGAGGGGAGAGGACGGAGGAGGAGGAAGAGGAGGGAGAGGAGGGAAGAGGAGGGAGGAAGAGGAGGGAGGAAGAGGAGGGAGAGGAGGGAAGAGGAGGAGAGGAGGTTCGGTCCAGTAGTCCTCGCAGGTGCGAATCAAGCTCGCAACTGCACGGCGGGTGCCGCTCCCATGGGAAGCGGCAGCCGAAAGGGCGGAGAACGAAGAGGACGAGGAGGAGAAGGAGGAGGATAAAGAGAGGGAGGGAAGGAGGAAGAAGAAAGAGAAGGAGGAGGACGACGAAGAGGATGACGAGGAGCGGAGGAGGGAGGGAAGATGAGGAGGAGAAGGAGAGGAGGAGTAGAGGAGGAGGAGGAGGAGGAGGACGAGGAGAGAGAGAGAGAGAGAGGGAGGGAGGGAAGAGGAGGAGGAGGAAGAGGAGGAGAAGGACGAGGAGAAGGAGTAGAGGAGGAGGAGGGAGGGAAGAGGAGGAGGAGAGGAGGTTCAGGATTCCCCATGGATGGGGGGAGCGGGAGGAGGAGGAGGAGGAGGAGGAGGAGGAGGAGGAGGAGGAGGAGGAGGAGAGGGTCGCATGTCCTGGTCGTGGGGGTCGAGGGTGTACATGTGCTGTTGTCCGTGATGGGCATACCGCGGGTCACCCAGGCGCGGGACACCAATGCCGAAGTCCTCATCCGTCTCCTCCTCGTCCTGCCGGGGGACGGGGGGGAGGGCAGGACGAGGCGGGAGAAGAGAGGATTTTCCCTGAGAGCAGGGCATTGCAATTCTGTTCACACCAGGCCTTTTGGCCTGGCCTCAGAAAGATGGGGTCTAGGGGTCAAGCTGTGATGTTCTCGTCGTTGCAAGTCTTCGCAACGTCGGACCTCAAGGATCACGCTTCGGCATCTAGGAAGGCTCCAAGTGGCACTCGCCGACAGGGATGCACCCCTAGATCAATGTCAAAACGCGCCCCAGGAGAGGTTCTGGGGGTGACTTTGAGGAACAAGGAGGAGGAACAGGAGGATGGGGAGGACGAGGAGGGACGAGGAGGAGGTCGCGGCGGAAAAGAGGAAGAAACAGAAGAAGAAGAAGAAGAAGAATCCCACCAGCCCCCTAGGCGTGAGTGGTTTAGCGAGTTTCCTCTTCCATCTTCCCTTTTTCCCCTTCGGGGAATGGTTTATCACTGTTCTTTATTGATATAACCCCCCTCCCCCAGGCGACTGGCGTCCAACCAGGAACCATGCTGGCACCATGCCGACCCGCCCCCCACCATCCCTGTCAATGAACAATACAAACCGCACTATGCCTCCACATTTGGAGCATGCGCGGCCAACCCGATGCGCCCCACCCCCCCACCATCCATGTCAAATTACTCCGACGGTAGGACCTCGCATGATAATATGTTTAACTTGCCTGGGGATCTCCTCCTGCCCACTCCCTTCTCCTACCTACTCCTGGCTCCTCCTCCTCCTCCTCCTCCTGCCTGCTCCTCCTCTTGCATCAACCCCTGCCGCCTCCTCCTCTTGCCTCCTCCACCACCATCTCCTCCTCATCATCCTTTTCCTCTTCCTCCTCCTCCTCCTCCTTTTCCCTCTCTCTCTCTCTCTCTCTCTCTCTCCCTCCACCTCCTCCTCCTCCTCCTCCTCCTCCTCCTCATCATCATCATCATCATCAGCATCAGCATCATCACTCGAAGAGACAGTCCGTCCGCCGAGTACATCGGAGGCGAGGCCCGAATGCCGCTTGGATCGCCACGGTGGGCACAAAGGAGATAGGGGGGTGCACTACCGTGAATACCGAGGTGGTTGACATCTGGCCGAACCTGGCTTTTGCGTTGGTTCGAAGCGCTCTAGGTGGCTTCGAGGGCTAAGGATCACGGCCAAGTAAGCTCCGCCCGCTTAGCGGAGCTAGCGAGCCCACCCAAGCCACTTAGGGCACTTGTAGCCCACATATAAGCCTGGCTTGACCAGAAATCAGCCGCCTTAGAAATCACTTTGAACCCCTCCATCCCCGTGGCGATCACCGCGGTGATCCAAGTATGCCCGAGTCCCCAGTGGCTGTCGGGCCATAACTCGCGGCGGCCGTCTGGGCAACCCCAGAACGCCCTCAGCGAGGCGCAGCCGCTGGAGGACCTCCCGAGGCTGAAGAGCCGCCGAGAACCGACGAAGACGCCCGAAAACCTCGAACCTCGCACCCGAAGCGTTGCCCCATACCCACTTAACAACATCCGCGGTGATCCAAGCGGGACCCCTATCCGCTCCTCCTCGTCCCGCTGTTGGCCGTGGTGCTGGGCGTACATGGCGCCTTCGTCCCCGGACGCTCGCTCGTCCTCGTCCAGCTCTGGCTGCCGCTGCTCCAGCTGGTCCTCGCCCCGGACGTCGTGTTCCTCTTGCTGCAGCTCCCGCTCCTCCTCGTCCAGCTCGTCGTCCTCGAGGGAGAGAGACTTGGATCACCGAGGGAGCTGCCAAATGGACAGGAGGTGTACTAGTAAATGCCCGGGTGGCGCATATCTGGCCGAACCTGGTTTATGAGTGAGTGGATTAGAAAGGTTCTAAATGGCTTCGGGGGGTAAGGATCCGGGCCAAGTGGGCTCCTCCCACGTAGCTGCGTTAGCAAACCCACCTAAGCCTCGCAGGGCACTTGTAGCCTACTTATAAGCTGGTATCGGCCATCCATAACCCACCTGAGCATCCACTTAGAACCCCTATCCATTTGGCAATCCCCGCAGTGACTCAAGCAGGCAGCCCCAGCCAGCACCACGAGGGCGGGCTGCAAGTCTGGCGGGGGGGAGCTTCAGAGGGAAGGGCCCCTGGCCAGCCCTGCCCGATCTTGGTGCGTGGGCACTCTGACCTGAACTCCACCATAAACCCTGGGATCCGCTGCATTGTGCCCAGCCTTTCATGTGGTGTTGGGTCCTGGCTCTGAGCATGGAGGGCACCGCGTCCGCGCCACCAACTCCCGCTCCCCTCGCCTGTTACTCCTCCTCCCGTGCCTCCTCCTATTTCTCCTCTTCCTCCTCCTCCTCCTCCTCCACCACCACCACCTCCTCCTCCTCCTCCTCCTCCTCCGCCTGCTCCTCCTCCTCCTCTCCTCCTCCTCCTCCTCCTCCTCCTCTCTCTCCTGCTTTCCTCCTCCTTCTCCTCCGCCTCCTCCTCCCCTCTCTCCCCTCCCCCTCCCCTCCCCCTCCCCTCCCCCTCCCCCTCCCTCCTCCTCCTCCTCCTCCTCCTCCTCCTCCTCCTCCTCCTCACTCCTCCTCTCCTCCTCCTCCCTCCTCCTCCCTCCTCCTCTCCTCCTCCTCGCTCCTCCTCCTCCTCCATCATCTCCTCCTCCTCCTCCTCCTCCTCCTCCTCCTCCTCCTCCTCCTCCTCCTCCTCCTCCTTCCTCCTCCTCCTCCTCCTCCTCCTCCTCCCCCTCCTCCTCTCCTCCCTCCTCCTCCTCCTCCTCCTCGTCCTCCTCATCCTCCTCCTCCTCCTCCTCCTCCTCCTCCTCCTCCTCCTCCTGCTCCTCCTCTCCTTTGTCTCTTCCTCCTCCTCCTCCTCCTCCTCCTCCTCCTCCTCCTCCTCCTCCTCCTCCTCATCTCCTCTCATCATATCTATCATCATCACATCATCATCATCATCTCTCATCATCATCATCATCATCATCATCATCATCATCATCTTCATCTCATCATCATCATCAATCATCATCATCATCATCATCATCATCATCATCATCATCATCATCATCATCATCATCATCTCATCATCATCAGCATCAGCATCATCATCAGCATCATCATCATCACATCATCATCATCGTCATCGTCATCAGCAATCATCATCATCAGCACATCATCATCATCATCTCATCATCATCATCATCATCATCATCATCATCATCATCATCATCACATCATCATCATCAGCATCCATCATCATCATCATCATCATCATCATCATCATCATCATCATCATCATCATCATCATCATCATCATCATCATCATCATCATCATCATCATCATCATCATCATCATCATCATCATCATCATCATCATCATCATCATCATCATCATCATCATCATCATCATCATCATCATCATCATCATCATCATCATCATCATCATCATCATCATCATCATCATCATCATCATCCTCTCTCTCCTCTTCCTCGTCCATCCCAGCCTCCTCCTCCTCCTGCTCCTGCTCCTCCTCCTCATCCTCCTCCTCCTCCGCCTCCTCCTCCTCCTTCTCCTCCTCCTCCTCCCCTTCCTCCTGCTGTCCTGTGCCCGAGCATCGGGCATTGCACACACCAACTTCAGGACAGCATTGTGTGTGCGAGCCTTTTGTGGCTTCGGTTTCCTTCTCGCATGTCCAAGAATGCTTGGCAGCTTCGCAGCAATGGCGGTGGGGCGTGGTCGACGCAGGCTCCCTGGAGAACAGGGCCGTCGGCGGCCAGGGCTGCGCCATCGCCAGGCCAGTGGGACACTCAGGCTGGCGACGACAGACCCTGGAACTGGTCCCCTTCCCGCCAAGGCTCGGTGTCGTGGTCAGGCCGCCGCTGGCGTTGCGATGCTTGTGGATGCAAGAAGAACCTCGAGGGTTGGATCGCCTGCAAGCACTGCGGCGAGATGCGTGAAGGCTTGCAGGGCTGGCCGAAGCCGGGGACCCACTGGCCTGCCCTCAAGCCTGGGCTGGTGCCTGCTCCTGGCGGCCATGGTGGCGCTGGTGGGCAACCAGGCGGTGGCGGCTCAGCTTCAGCCCAGTTGTCTGAGTCCGAGCTGCGCACGCTCATCGGCCTGTGCGAGAAGTCGGGCGACGGCGAAGCGGCCTCCCGCCACAAGTCCGCGCTCGACAAGCTGCTCCGCACCTCCACGCCCGCCCCCGTCCAGCAGCGCGCGGCCAAGGCCCACAGCAGCGTGCAGCACTGGGAGCGCAAGCTGTCCACGGAGCTCGACAAGCTCACCAAGCTCGAGAGGCAGGTGGAGGAGCAGAAGGTTGCGACGGCAGCTGCTCAGCAGTCCTTGCAGGCGGCCGACGACAACTACAAGGACCTGGTCCGAGAGCTGGCTGGGAACGTGGTCGACCACACCCCCGCAGTGCCGCTCGGCCGCGCCAAGGTGGACGTGTCGGAGCTCATGCAGGGTTCGTGCAATGTGCTGGATATGGTTTCGCTGGACTCGATCTTCCTCTTCGACGAGGGCGAGTACGAGGTGTCCGACGACGACAAGGAGCAAATGGCAGCTCGGCGGGCAGCGCTCAATGAGCAGTTCCGCGAGGCGTGCAACTCCCTCTTCAAAGGGGCGCTGGAGAAGGCCCAGGCTGCCCGCGAGGAGCAGGCCAAGCATGTGCAGCGTCTTGGCAAGAATAGGAAGGGCGAGGACGGTGCGGCCGTGGCTGGCGGCGGCGCTGGGTCCACCTCGGCGGGTCCGCCCGACGACGAGGGGGTCAAGATGCCTGGCGACTCCAGTGAGGCACCTCCCGACGTCCGAGCTCGTGCTGAGGCCGCCCTGGGCGCCACAAAGTGCCCGTTGCCCCCTCCCGCGTGACTCCTTTGGGAGCGCGGGCAGGGGGGCCCATCTGTCCTTTTCTTCCCAGCCTCCACGCTGGGCTAGCTTGAATCGAGCGGAGCTCGAGGATCGCCTGGCCCTATCTATTCGTTCTCTCGATATATATATATATATATATATATATATATAGCTTCGCTGTTGTGTTCCGCCAACAGCACCCCAGGCGTCTGCAAACAGGGGGACTTTTGCAAAAAGGGGGCAGGTGTCCTGCCCAATCTTGCGTTTTCCCCTGTCGGCCAGCAGGCTCCTGGTCCCTCAGGTGCGTTTTCTCGACCTGAAAGTTTTGAAGTGTTTAGGGCCCCCCCAGCCCCTGGGGGGGATGCCATCAACCTGAAGATTGTCACTTGCAACTGCACGGCCTGGAGTTCTGCTAAGGATTGGCTCTTGCAGACGGCGGCGCACGTGGTGTTGCTCCAGGAGCACCACTTGCTCGCGCACCAGACCTTAGATGCTCAGCGCTGGGCCCTTAATCACGGTTGGAAATCGATCTTCGGGAGTGCTAAGGCTTCGTCCGACTTAGGTACCTCTGGAGGTGTGGCTATTCTAGCTCGTGCTGGCCTGGGCCTACATTGGCCCCCAGGGGGTTATGAGGTTGAAGACTATCGTGCTGTTGCAGGGGTTGTTCATGTTGGGGATCTTCCTCCCATCCTGTGCATCTCCTGCTACTTGTCGTGCTGCGAGGGTCTGTCCGACAGGAATTTGGCCCTGCTTTCGAAGATCGGTTCGATGGCCAGCAGCAGCCTCAGCAGTTTCGCGATCGGAGGCGATTTCAATATGGAGCCCCCGCTGCTTGACGACACCAATTTCGTTCAGCAGTTAGAGGGCCAGGTGATCACGGCAGGTGTGTCCACCTGCCTTAGCTCAGCTGGCGGAAAGGTGTATGATTTTTTCGTGGTGTCTGGTGGTTTGTCCAAAGGTATCAGGGAGACGTGGGTCGACAGGTTTGCTCCGACGTCTCCCCACTCGCCCGCGGGGGCCGATTTCCATACCAGGCTTGCCGATCTTAGAGTTTTACAGTTCAGGAAGCCTCCTCCTTTGCCTGTGGAAGTCCCTGTCGGGCCTGGACCAGAGCCCCAGGACTGGGACTCTACGCTGGACTTGGCATATGAAGTCCTTGTTTGCGCCCGTCGGGGTTCTCTGGATGCTCACTACGGGCTCACCGACTTGCATAGGCGATGGGCCAACCTCGCCGAAGCCGAGCTTGCTGATCAACTCCAGGTTAAGCTCCCCCAGACTGGGTGTCGAGGAGAGATTCCCAAGGCCTGGTGGGTTCCTGTCTTGGGGCGTGACCAGCGGCCAGCTCGTCATCCTGAACTTTTTGTTTGTAGATGGCTTTCTCAGATTTTCAGGGATTGGACCACTTCCTGGAGGTCCTTGCATCACAAATGTTCTGGTGGGATCCCTATCATGAGTGCCAAGAAAGTTCTCGAGTACCCCTCGCCGTTCATTCAGAAGCATATGGGGTCTGGTGCTATCTTCGAGGCCCACCGTAGAGTCTTGGACTTCATTAGGCAGGACAAGGTCACCCTGGAGGCCATAGGCGGCGTGTCCATCGAGTTAGCTGGCCTTCTGGACTCGACCGCCAAGGCGGCTCGAGCTGCAGGTGAGCGGTCGTGGAAGGAGTGGCTCCTAAGGGACATTGACCAGGGCGGCGGCCGCAATGCGCACGCCTGGACGCGTCCTGTAGAGGCTTGGGTTCCCTCCACTACCCTCAGTGCTGCGGGCCAGGTGGTGTCCGATCCTCGTTCCCTTCTGCGTGCTGAAGGGGAACGTTTTCAGAAGCTATGGCTGGCCGAAACCGAGCTGTTCGATTTTATGGACCCCAAGCCCTTCCAACCCCTTGAACATCTTCCCCTTGTTTCGCCCGAGTTCTTGAGGG